GCCCCCTGTCGAACAGGGGCAGTTCGACTGCCCTGCCTGTCGAACGGGGGCTGTTCGACAGGTCCTGTCGAACGGCAGCCTTCCGATCTCCTCGCCAGTCGCGCTCTGGCCGTTCGATAGGCGCCCTATCGAACTGCACCCGTTCGACAGGGACCTACTTTCGCGATTTTCCCCGGTTGACCACTACTTTTACGATTTTCCATAAAAATAATATTAATTCTCAAAAAAATTCTTCGGTTTGCTGCTTCCTATAACTATAAATACACACGCAAGCATGGAGCTTCTTCTTTCATCCATTCTCCGAGCTCCAAAATCAAAAGCATTGTTTCTTCCAGACTTCCACACAGCACAGCACACGCATACGCTTGAGATGGAGCTGATGGCCATCCTTCTCAGAACGGCGAGCTTGATCTCCGAGGCCTGCCGCAACGCCGAGAAGTTACCGGCGGCGCTGATAACGGGCGGCGCAGTCGAGGCCGTCGCGGCGATCTTCCTCTGCCTTTTCGTGCCGCCCGGTGGTTTGTTTGAGAACCACGGCAAGGGGCCCTTCTTCCTCTACTACGGCATTCTCATCGCGGTGGCCGTCTTCGGGCTTGGTGAGGCGTCGGCCGGCTTCTGGGTGGGCGGGAACCTGACCGGCCGGCGTTCTGTCGGTATGACGATCTTGTGGGTTTCGATTTTGCCGCTTGTCATGGTGGCTGCGATAGGTGGATTTATCATCTTCAGATAGTTGCACACTCTGTTTCTTCTGTTGTATGTGTCCGTTTCTTATTCCTGTGTGAGTAATTCCCATATTCATTTGCGATGTGAGATTGTGATCGTAAAAAAAAAAAAATAGTAATGTGCTATAAGAGCGTCAGGATTATTCAGCCGTGTTTTCCACTTGTACTAGTATGGTCTGTTTGTGAGATTTTGGTTACTAGTATTAAGTTATTCTTGAGTTTTCATGTGAATTAGTTTTGTTGTGCGAATGTGTAGTACTGCTCTATTGATCCCGCACAAAATAATAGCCGAACTGAGAAAACACCCGGCTGTTTATTTGAAGAGGCAACCACGATGCAGGTCTGCAGACTGAGTTAAGTTTCAGATAAGGGTATTTTACAGCAAAAGCTTCATTTACACGGTTCGTGTTCAAAGCAAAGACACGTATTTTGTCCCAGGTTCAGAAAACAAAGCCATAACAAGTAACAACCAAACATGCATCCAGAAAGCATATTGGGTGTGCACAAAGCTAGAAATGCGGTGAAATTTCAATAACCTATGCAATGGAACAACGAAAATTCTTTATAAATTGCACTCTAACGCATTAAGTTGTTTGATTTTTTCTGAATTTTAATTATTTCTTGTGAAAAGTTGTGCTGCATGGATCAGCTTTTGACACAAAATACTGGTAAACTAGCATTGGTGGCCCGCGCAGATTGTGCGGCTAGCATCATTATATTTTCTCTCATATAATAGCATATATGTTTTTCTCATTATATTATTCGAATATATTAAAATGACATCATAATTTTAAATTTTGCAATAACTTTACAAAACTAAAATATTCATATTGTATTTTATATACGTGTTAGCTATTAATTATTTTTAATATCAAATTTTAGTTATGTAAATTATATATATTCCTATATGGACTCTAGACTCGTCTTTTAATATATTTTTTTAATTCCGAATTTTCTGTAAATTGTATTTCTATATACTCTAGGCTCTTCTTCCAATATTATTTATTTTTATTTCTAAATTTTTATTATTTCTAATTGTATTTCTATGTGGACTCTAAACTCATCTTTCAATATTCTTTAATTTTAATTTCGAAATTTAGTTACTTCTAAATTGTATTCCTATATTGACTTTAAACTCTTCTTCCCATATTTTTCTTAATTTCGAATTTTAGTTATTTGTAAATTGTATTTTTATGCGGACTCAAAACTCTACTTTTAATTTTATTATGTTTATTCTGAATTTTAGTTAGTTTTAAATTCCTATATGGACTCTATACTCTACTTCTAATATTCCTTATTTTTTATTCCGAATTTCTATTTTTTTTTCTCAATTGTATTTCTATATGAACTCTATACTCTACTTCTAATATTCCTTATTTTTAATACCAAATTTCTATTATTTCCTAATTGTATTACTATATGGACTCTATACTCTACTTCTAATATTCCTTATTTTTAATTTCGAATTTCAGTTATTTCCTAATTGTATTTATATATGGACTCTAGTCTCCTCTTCTAATATTCCTTTTTTTTAATTCCAAATTTCAACTATTTCTAAATTGTATTTCTATATGAACTCTAGTCTCCTCTTCTAATATTCCTTATTTTTTAATTCCGAATTTCAGCTATTTCTAAATTGTATTTCTATATGGACTCTGTCTTTTCTTTTTCTCCGATTAATGTGAGAATTTCTAGGTCATGAGAGCGAACGTGGAGGCTCCTTTTTCTATTCCTTTAATTATATAATAGATACTACTGTAATAGACAACTTGCGTTCCTCTTTTATACATAGATAGTACTCACTCCTTCTAAAAATCTGAAAATCTGAGACCTATTTCTTTCTCTGGGTTTTCCAAAAATCTAAGTCCTATTTGTAGTCACTATGTGCTAAATTAAATTGTGGATCGGAAACCAAGAAGCCATTCTACTACTTATTGATTGCATGTTCATTGGTTTTGCCATATGGTGAGTGAGTTAATTGCTTCTTGATATTGATGAAAAAGAAATAGGTCTTAAATTTTTTTGATGGAGGGAGTATAAGAAAAGGGTAATTTTACCGTCCTTGAAAAAGTGCGGGAAGATACTATACTTTCTAGGGTAAAATTTAGTACCACCAGATACCTCAAGGTAAAAAAAAAATAGTGTAAATTTTAGATATCTCAAGATACTTTTTCAAAGACCATAAAATTTCTCGTAAGAAAATCGGTGTTGTTTGACAAGAACAGAAAAACAAAACAGGGTCACTACAAGGAAAACAAAAACACCTAATCTTTGGACAAATCGAACTCTAACCTGATTGTTGGGATATGAAGTGAATTATCCGTCTTTTCTTATCAACTTAAGTTTTTGGTTAAACTGGTTGGTGCATACGTATTGATAATTAGGATTGCTCAAGTTAGCTTCAGCATAGGCGCCTCTTCCAAATAATTTACCCCCAATACATACAGAAGATCATTCATTTGTCTGTATCAGTGGCTGGTCGCGTCAGCACCAAAAAAACAACCGAGCTGCTCTCGGTTCCGGATTCGGTTTTCGCCCAGTATCCATGAGTGTCGCCCTCGTCAAGCTTGTTTAGCCGTAGCACACATGTGCTCTTTCCTTTCCTTTCCTTTTCTTTGGCAACCTTGCCCCAAACCCTTTGCGCGTAGCTTGCCGAGCCGCAGAGGAAACCGATAGAGCTGGCCGGTTTCGGGGTCTGGGTGAGCATGTCCCTCTCGTAATCTCGTTTCAGATTATGCAACGGGTGCTTGCACGCTTGACGAGATGCACCAGGTCATTGCTGAAAGATGACGTGTGCACAGGAAAAAAAATAAAAAAATGGCGAAAGACGATATCCAGTTCAGACGCACACCGGGAAACCGATGCTCGATCGGTTTCGGTTCGGTTTGCCCATGGACAGAAATAGGCATTGTCTTCTGCTTCGTTGAGCTTGACTAGAGTATATTATTCGCACCCACCTCCTTCCATGCACCTATGGAATTTCAGAATTCAATAGTGAAGTGTCAATTCGGTTCGGTTTTTCGCTCCGGTTTTCTGCTGTGTATATATGAGGCAACCGGGAACCCTGGTAATCGATCTCGATCCCCGCCATTACACGAAGCACAAACAGAGCATCTCTCTGAAACACCACTCAAAAAACAGAGCATTTCTCCGAATCCGCGAATCGTTCGATACATTCGCAGGATCGGAGCTACACAAAAACATGGATCTGCCTGAGTTCCTCGCCAAGATCCTGCAGGCGATCGCGGACGCCTGCCTCGACGACAACAAGCTTCCCGGGGCGCTTATCTCGTGCGGCGTCCTCCAAGCCGCGGCTGCACTCTCCCTCGTCTTCTTCATCGCTCCGAGCGGAGTCTTCGGCAACCATGGTAAGGCACTCCACTGGCTGTACTACGGAAGCCTTGTCACCGTGGTGCTCGTCGGGTTTGTAGAGGCTTCTGTCGGGTTTTGGGTGGCAGGTGATCTGGCAAACCGGCGAGCAGTGGGCAGGACGATGCTCTTGGTTTGCCTCTTCAGCCTGATCTTCGTGGTCACTCTTTGGGGCTCTGTTCTTGTGAGATGATTGCATTCTTTGCTGTATGTACAAGATTTAGCATTCCTTTGTGAGTATGTGGTATTTTTCAACTGTGTTGTACTGTTGTCTAAATATATTCATTGTAATATTCAAACTGTGTGAGATTTTCATTTGTAGTTTCAGAAATTCTTGGACGATTTTTACCGTACTTTTGATTTGGGCTGTTTTCGTGTAATTAGTACTACTAGTATTTACGTTGTCTTTTCAGACGATCGCAGTTCTGACATGTGCTTACGCTGCCTCTATTCTACTTCCGATAGCGCTGCACATATTTGCACTCGCGTTCAGAAGGCAAATGCAGCAAACAAGTTGTAATGGGGTTCAGCACTTCAGCCTCTTCTAAATATATCCAGCACTGCAGCATGCTGAAACTTCTCCCCTTCCAGTCCACCAAGATTTCAACTTCAAATTTTGTTCATACTTAACTCAAAATTTCACGAACTGATCACCCTCGAGTCGAAAATTTTCAATCCACATGCAAACTTCTGTAGCTTTCACTAGTCTACACTAATATAAAAAGCACCAGTTCATCAAACCCAAATATTTTCTGACCTTTAGATCTATTCATCCAATGGCTCAGATCAAGAGTTGGATCAACCTCTACAATTAGCGATTCCACGTCGTGTAAGTAGCGGTTACAAAAATTAATTAGCGATCATCAAACAAAAAGAAAAAAGAAGAAGTTATTAGTGATCCATCTCCCACTCCCCTACCCTGCCGCCTCCGCCAGTCCGCCTCCTTGCGCCTACCCCACCGCCGTCGCCCGCCGCCTTCTCCACCAGCGCCGACGCCTCCTCACGCCTACCCCATTGCCGTCGCTGTCGTCGGCCCCGCCTTCTCCGCCGGCGGCAGCCGCGAAACCTACCCCGCCGCCGACGTCTCCTCGCGCCTACCACCCCCTACTCTCACGCTCCGTCGCCGATCTCCTTCGCCGTTGCCCCGCCATCGATCTCCGACGCCGGAACTCCGTTGCATGTCGCACGTCACCCAGATCGGCGTCGCTCCAAGATTGGCGTCACGGTCGCGGGCGTCGATCTCGCTCCCCTATCGGCATCGCAATCACTGGCGATGATATCGTGGCCTCGAACCTTCGTAGCTGTCTCCATCGCCTTCGCCGCTGCTGATCCTGCTTCCCCAGTTCGCCGTCGTCGCCTTCGATCCGGCGGGCCACGCCTCTGTCCACGCCCACCGCGGAGTGCGCCCCTCCAGCCAGTACAGCAGCATCGCCACTGCCGACAGGAGCAGCATCCCCGTCCAGATTGTCAGCAGACAACCAGGTGATTGGATTGGTTTTCTTTTATTTGGTTGGATTCTGCATTTTGAACGAAAGCAGTAAAATTCATCATTCTTTGATTTGGTTGGATTCAGAATTGACAATACATCATAAATCTGAGTAAATCATTAAGCAATATTACATTCTCTATTATTTAATTATTGCAATTGTTAATCATGCTTAAAAAACATAATGTTATTCATGCTCAACCATAATGCTGGCAACTAAAAATAATACCTAGATTGACAGTAGTACAGTTGAACAATACCTAGACTGACCGTAGTACAGTTGGGTGGCGAAGGTCTCATTGCTCACTGATGGCTTTCTAAATCCCCTATTCCGTCGTAAGCCTGATTATCGTGGTATATTATTTCTTGGAGGTGTTATAGGTGATATGAATGGAAGGGCATGTACACTGTTATAGCAGGAATAAAACCTAGGCTTGATGCTAATTTACATATGAAGAACACGCAAATTAATTTAATTAATTGTTATGCTTTATTCTGCTTGTTTCTATGCACTACAATTCCAATTTGAGTGCCTATCTTGTCATGCTATTCAGTATAATGTCTTGGCAGGATATGAATCTGTTCATGCATCTATATACAGCCTTCATATAATTAAGTAAGGATTAACCAGATTACTTGCTTTGTCTAATGCAGCCTCACCATTTCATTTGTGGCGAGCACCTTAATTCCATCTTGCCATTGTCAAGAGTATATCATCTGCATCTAATTCTGTATATTGAGTATATATTGACTAGGATCTTGGAAATTTTTGAATTGTTGTCAGATATTAAGTTCCTTAGTTTGATGATTTGATTAGTTTTGCAACTAATCACCATTGATCACAAGTAAACACCACTTATAGCAGTTTAATGGCTATTTATCTAAAAAGGAAAAAACTAGAAGTTTAATGACTGAAACTGCAGTGGTACTATGATCTATAAACAAGAAATCTGCTGAGTTTCCTAGCAGTTGTTGGGTGCACTTTCCTCTTGCTGTGTCATCCATTAAATTTCAAAAACTGCAAATTCTTTGTATAGGTATTACTGGGACTCAAATGTACACCTTTCAGTTCACACTCAATTTTGTAGAACAGTAAAAGCGTGAAAATATAGGAAATATAATTGATTTGTTCAGAAAATTATTCAAATGCTAACACACTGCCTAGGTAATCACTTTCTCAACATAAGTATATGTACAACAATGCATATTGTTTCTACTTTTCACAATTGGGAACCTGAATACATAAGTATATGTACAACAATGCATATTGTTTCTACTTTTCACAATTGGGAACCTGAAATATCAAGATTCTAAAACTAATGTGTGTCTGCTGTACAGTTCTTAAAACAATGCTATGGAATATTCTATGACTAATATGTTGCACTGTAGAGTTCTGAAGATTCTTCAATCAAAGCGTGGGAAACTTCTGAGGGAAAGTTTGTCAAAAAAATTCAGGTTACCAGTGTTTTGGTGGACATTTACATACTTATGCAATTTGATATGCTAAATGAATTTACTACTAATACATTACATCAATCTTCTGTTTGTAACTGGTTCAATGGACCATTAGAGCTTTCTGTTGACAAATTAAATGAGCTTTGTTCATTTATCCAACAACTTTTCTTTTTCTGAATCTTGCTCCAAATTTTGTCATATTATTGACTATTATTTTTTTTAAACCATGCAAATAATTTGTTGATATAACGATGTTCACTTGGCATAAGAAATCATAGCAGTGGAGGTAATTTTTTTTCTCTTTCCACTCTGGAAACCCATGCCCCTTTTTTTTTCCTGATTCATTACAAGTGACATTACTGTGCAATCTTGCAACTGTTTCACAGATGCAACCCTTAGTGCTTTGAATAATATAATAAGATAATGATTCCCTTTTAGCTGTTCTATGTGCAGCAAATATTATTATTGGCTCCGTTCACTATTTGGTAGATTGTTTCCCATTTCGTTGGACAACCAGAACAACAATCGATTGTATGATTTGTATCTTAGTCCTTTGCAAGTAAGGTATTGAGAAAATGACATAATGGGAACAGAGGAAGTGATGTAATTCTGTACCTTATTTGTGAACCTTAATGTATACATAATATTTATTTCAGGAAGACGGGACTGAATACATATTTCTTAATTCCAAAGGCATTCAGGATGTTTATGAAAGATAATTACTGTTGTTTTTAGGAAACATATTACATCGGCGTTGTCAGGTAAGCTAACATAGAGTGATGATGTTCATGGTTTCAAATGAGAATATATATATTCCTCGCATGGACAACTTTACTATGCTTTGTCAAGGAGTATGTAAGGCAAACAGTAACAGGGATTTTTGCCAAACTACCAAACTAGGAAAGAGATAGACCTTACCGAAAATATTATGTATAAAGGTTTCTTGGAATATTAGAAAAATATAATGACACCGTAGCGTTAGCACGGGCATATTACTAGTAGAACAAAAGAAACACTTATGCATTTATACCCAAAAAAAACCGTAATTAATGGACCGCATTTCGTACTGTGTAGCGGCCCGTCGAAGCATAACTCAAACTTTTAAGCCAGAGATGGGCCTGGGCCAACATCGACATAAACTGGAATAAGTCCACTTGCCTTCCCTCAACTTTACATGGAGTGTGTATGATGGCCCTAATTCCCAATACCAGATGTCGACCCCTCAAGTCTTCAAAACCATGCAAAGTAGTTCCTCGAGGGTATAGACCATATTTCCCCTGGTTTCCATTGATGTGGCATATATCAGGGCCCACTACCTGAACCATCGCCACGTCCAGTCCTTTCGGCCTGTTCGCGATGACGAGCTCGGCCACCACCTCAACATCGTCCATGCTGCGGCGATGGCGAGGAGACAGCTGGGACGGTGAACCTCATAGCTCCGTCTGTTGCAACATCCTCTCGCCATGCTCACGCCGCCACGACACCCTTGTCCTCCTGCTCCGTAGCAGCCTCGCAAGCTCACGCCGCGGCCTCATCGAGGTCCCCTGTCCCCGAGCCGCTTCTAGCATCGATGAGCTGAGGAGCTCCCCCACTGCCGAGGCGATGACGATTTGGCAGGGAGGGCTCGATTCGCCCACTCCAATTCGCAGCGTCACACCTCCCCTCCCCCCTCCTATTCATCCACCACCAACGCGGATAGGAGAAGGGATAGAGGAAGGTGTGCGTGGACACTTACATGTTGGTTCCATATTTTTTTTTTACTCGGATGCCACGTCAGATAAAACAACCGTCGGTCAACATTTTTCGTAGTGGGGATTAGGGATGTCATACATGACTCGACGCAGAGCTGAGGGATGGCAAGTGAACTTATTCCCATAAACTTCCAAAAGTTTGGAATGCTCAACTTAGGCTTCTCTTCGGATGCTGAAGTGCTAATGGGCCAAATAACCAACTAGCCCACAGCCCATCGAAGTGGAAGCCGACGAGTCCACCGTCAACGCGGCAGTAGTAATCCGAGAAAACGCGGGTCGCGCGAAGCAATCGATCATCATCAGACGATTAATCCACGACGACCAGGAGCGCTGCCCCGAGCCACACGCCCACACGCACTGGTGAATCTTCTCCTTTCCACCTAGTTTTCACTCTGCAGTCTCCTCTCCTAGCTACTACTCTGCCTTCCCATCCTCGCTTGTTGCAGCCCTCTTGCACACGCCATTGGCCACAGTCCAAGGACTGCTCCTGTTCCGATGGAGGAGGTGGAAGCCGGTTGGCTGGAGGGCGGGATCAGGTGGCTGGCGGAGACCATCCTGGATAACCTGGACGCCGACAAGCTGGATGAATGGATTCGCCAGATTAGGCTCGCCGCTGACACCGAGAAGCTACGGGCTGAGATCGAGAAGGTGGATGGGGTGGTGGCTGCCGTGAAGGGGAGGGCGATCGGGAACAGGTCGCTGGCCCGATCGCTCGGCCGTCTCAGGGGGTTGCTGTACGACGCCGACGATGCGGTCGACGAGCTCGACTACTTCAGGCTCCAGCAGCAGGTCGAGGGAGGAGGTACTGTCTTTGCATATATCCGTGCCTTTTAATTAAGTTTGCAAGCTGCGTTGCCTGCAACAATGGCGTATTGGCGTCAGTTTCCAATCCATGCTTGTGCTACAGTTACTACACGGTTTGAGGCTGAAGAGACGGTCGGAGATGGAGCAGAGGACGAGGACGATATTCCGATGGACAATACTGATGTACCGGAGGCAGTGGCGGCAGGCAGCAGCAAGAAACGGTCCAAGGCATGGGAACACTTTACTACCGTAGAGTTCACTGCTGACGGGAAGGATTCTAAAGCACGGTGCAAGTACTGCCACAAGGACCTATGTTGCACATCTAAGAACGGGACATCAGCTTTGCGCAACCATCTCAATGTTTGCAAGAGGAAACGTGTAACAAGTACTGACCAACCGGTAAATCCATCAAGGTAATGCTAATGGAGTTCTGAATTTAGTGTAAATCCGTTGAAGTGTAAATTTGGCCCGTTACATCTGCTTAAGATCTCATTCTGTCTCTAATCTTCTAATAGCCAACTCATGGTCATTTTTTTTCCTAATATATAGTACCGGTGATGGTGCACCAAATGTAATTAGATGCAAGGAAACAAAAGTGAACAATTGTATATATCAAATATAATTATATCTAAAACATGAGTAGTGTATCAAATCCAATTCTTTCAAAAATCTACTATGCAAAATTGAGTGACAAAATCTGCTGCCTTTTTTTTTTTACAGAAAGCAACCAATTAATATAAGTCAAATATAAAAACGCTTTGTAGTCTCCAATAAAATAGCTCATTGTTTCGTTTATACTTATGTTTATAAATTTAAATTTAAAACTTAATTTTGGAGTTGATTTTGTGGTTTTCTTTTCATCCTATTTTATTTTACAACATTTGATTTTGAATAGTTAAGAATGCGTATATAAAAATTTTACCCATAAGTTATTTTTTAAATTGTTAATAAATCGTAAGGATAATCATAAGTATAAGTGAAATGATTCGCTCTTCATCTACTTAAGATTGCGTTATATTGCTGACCTTTCTAATCGCCTAACCACGATCACATGCTCTTCCAGTGCCGGTGAGGGTGCATCAAATGCAACTGGTAATTCAGTTGGCAGAAAAAGGATGAGAATGGATGGGACTTCAACACACCACGAGGCAGTTAGCACGCACCCTTGGAACAAGGCTGAACTTTCCAACAGGATCCAATGCATGACTCATCAGTTAGAAGAGGCTGTAAATGAGGTTATGAGGCTATGTCGATCCTCAAGTTCAAACCAGAGTCGACAGGGTACACCACCGGCCACAAATGCAACAACATCGTCTTATCTTCCGGAGCCCATAGTGTATGGGAGGGCTGCAGAGATGGAAACCATCAAACAGCTGATCATGAGCAATAGATCTAATGGCATAACCGTCCTGCCAATTGTAGGCAATGGAGGGATAGGAAAAACCACTTTGGCGCAACTGGTCTGCAAAGATCTGGTAATTAAAAGTCAGTTTAATGTTAAGATATGGGTGTATGTATCTGATAAATTTGATGTAGTTAAGATTACAAGGCAGATTTTGGATCATGTCTCCAACCAGAGCCACGAAGGAATAAGCAACCTTGATACGCTTCAGCAGGATCTTGAGGAACAAATGAAATCTAAGAAGTTCCTCATTGTCTTAGATGATGTGTGGGAAATCCGTACAGATGACTGGAAAAAACTACTGGCTCCTTTAAGACCTAATGATCAGGTGAATTCGTCACAGGAAGAGGCAACAGGTAATATGATAATTTTGACAACTCGTATACAGAGTATTGCCAAAAGTCTTGGAACAGTACAATCAATTAAGTTAGAAGCTCTGAAAGATGACGATATATGGTCACTATTTAAAGTGCATGCTTTTGGTAATGATAAACATGATAGTAGTCCAGGCTTACAGGTTCTTGGGAAGCAAATTGCTAGCGAGCTAAAAGGCAACCCACTGGCAGCAAAAACTGTGGGTTCACTATTAGGAACGAATCTTACCATCGATCATTGGGATAGCATTATAAAGAGTGAAGAATGGAAATCCCTGCAACAAGCTTATGGCATCATGCAAGCGCTGAAGTTGTGCTATGATCATCTATCCAACCCCTTACAGCAATGCGTCTCTTATTGTTCTCTTTTCCCCAAGGGTTATTCTTTCAGCAAAGCACAACTAATACAAATATGGATTGCTCAAGGATTTGTGGAAGAATCCAGTGAGAAGTTGGAGCAGAAAGGATGGAAATATCTAGCTGAGTTGGTAAATTCGGGTTTCCTTCAGCAAGTTGAAAGCACACGGTTTTCATCAGAATATTTTGTTGTGCACGATCTTATGCATGATTTAGCGCAAAAGGTTTCACAAACAGAATATGCAACTATAGATGGCTCAGAGTGCACAGAGTTAGCCCCAAGTATACGCCATTTGTCAATAGTAACTGATTCTGCATACCGCAAGGAGAAATATAGAAACATATCTCGTAATGAGGTGTTTGAGAAAAGGTTGATGAAAGTTAAGTCAAGGAGTAAGTTGAGGTCACTGGTATTAATTGGGCAATATGATTCTCATTTTTTTAAATATTTCAAAGATGCTTTCAAGGAAGCACAACATCTGCGACTGCTGCAGATCACTGCAACTTATGCTGATTCTGATTCATTTCTCTCCAGTTTGGTAAATTCTACACATCTCCGGTATCTGAAAATTGTGACTGAAGAATCCGGCAGAACTTTGCCCCGATCTCTAAGGAAGTATTACCATCTTCAAGTACTAGATATTGGCTATAGATTTGGAATTCCCCGTATATCTAATGATATAAATAATCTTCTCAGCCTGCGGCATCTTGTTGCATATGATGAAGTGTGTTCTTCCATTGCTAACATTGGTAAAATGACCTCACTTCAGGAACTAGGCAATTTTATTGTTCAGAATAATTTAAGTGGTTTTGAGGTGACACAATTGAAATCCATGAACAAGCTTGTACAACTTAGTGTGTCTCAACTTGAAAATGTTAGAACTCAGGAGGAGGCATGTGGGGCAAAACTGAAAGACAAACAACACTTAGAAAAGCTACATTTGTCCTGGAAGGATGCATGGAATGGATATGACAGTGACGAAAGCTATGAAGATGAATACGGCAGTGATATGAATATAGAAACAGAAGGGGAGGAACTGTCAGTTGGTGATGCCAATGGTGCCCAAAGCTTACAACATCACAGTAATATAAGCTCTGAACTTGCTTCAAGTGAGGTGCTCGAAGGTCTTGAACCACATCACGGCCTCAAGTATCTACGGATATCTGGGTATAATGGATCTACCTCCCCAACTTGGCTTCCTTCTTCACTTACCTGTCTGCAAACACTTCATCTAGAAAAATGTGGAAAATGGCAAATACTTCCTTTAGAAAGGCTAGGGTTACTTGTAAAGCTCGTGTTGATCAAAATGAGGAATGCAACAGAACTCTCAATCCCTTCACTGGAGGAGCTTGTGTTAATTGCATTGCCAAGCTTGAACACATGCTCCTGCACTTCCATCAGGAACTTGAACTCCAGTTTAAAGGTTCTGAAAATTAAGAATTGCCCTGTACTGAAGGTATTTCCCTTGTTTGAGATTTGCCAGAAATTTGAAATCGAGCGGACGTCGTCATGGTTGCCCCATCTTAGCAAGCTTACCATCTATAATTGTCCTCTTTCCTGTGTGCACAGTTCTCTGCCACCTTCATCTATTGTTTCCAAATTATCGATCGGTAAAGTTTCAACACTTCCAACGGTGAGGGGGTCATCTAGTGGAACATTAATAATTGGACTGCACCCCGATGAAGTTGATGATGATGATGGTTTGGAGGATTCTGATCAGCTGAAAACGTTGGATGACAAAGTACTATTATTCCATAACCTGAGGTTCCTAACTAGCTTGGCAATATATGGTTGTCGAAATCTTGCGACTATTTCAATTGAAAGTTTAAGGCAACTCGTTTGTTTGAAGAGTTTGGAATTATACGGCTGCCCAAAACTTTTCTCTTCAGATGTTCCACCAGAGCTTACATGTGAATATATGTCAGGAGCAAATCACAGCGCCCTCCCATCTCTCGAATGTCTCTATATTGAGGATTGTGGAATAACGGGGAAGTGGCTGTCTCTGATGTTGCAACATGTGCAGGCCCTACAGGAACTGAGTTTAGAGGACTGCCAGCAGATAACAAGGCTATCGATAGGAGAGGAAGAAAACAGTCAACCAAATCTTATGTCAGCTATGGAGGATCCGTCATTAGGATATCCAGATCGAGACGAACTTCTGCGCCTTCCGTTAAATCTCATCTCTTCTCTGAAAAAGGTATCTATTACATATTGCTATGATTTAACATTCTACGGCAGCAAGGTAGATTTCGCTGGATTTACCTCCCTTGAGGAGTTAGTGATTTCACGATGCCCCAAGCTGGTGTCGTTCTTGGCGCATAACGACGGAAATGATGAACAGTCGAATGGAAGATGGCTCCTACCGCTATCACTTGGAAAACTTGAGATTAACTATGTTGATTCCCTAAAAACGCTGCAGCTCTGCTTTCCGGGGAACCTCACCCGCCTGAAAAAACTAGTAGTGTTGGGAAACCAAAGTTTAACATCTCTGCAGCTCCATTCCTGCACAGCACTCCAAGAGTTGATAATTCGAAGCTGTGAGTCGCTTAATTCTCTGGAAGGCTTGCAATTGCTCGGCAATCTCAGGTTGCTGTGTGCACACAGATGCCTCAGCGGCCATGAAGAAGATGGAATGTGTATCCTTCCGCAATCACTTGAGGAAATTTACATCTGCGAGTACTCTCAAGAGAGGCTGCAGCTCTGCTTTCCAGGAAGCCTCACCCGCCTGAAAAAACTAGTAGTGTTGGGAAACCAAAGTTTAACATCTCTGCAGCTCCATTCCTGCACAGCACTCCAAGAGTTGATAATTCAAAGCTGTGAGTCGCTTAATTCTCTGGAAGGCTTGCAATGGCTCGGCAACCTCAGGTTGCTGCAGGCACACAGATGCCTCAGTGGTTATGGAGAAAATGGAAGGTGTATCCTTCCACAATCACTTGAGGAACTTTACATCAGAGAGTATTCTCAAGAAACGCTGCAGCCCTGCTTTCCAGGGAACCTCACCAGCTTGAAAAAACTAGAAGTACAGGGAAGCCAAAAGTTAATATCTCTGCAGCTGTATTCCTGCACAGCACTCCAAGAGTTGATGATTGAAAGTTGTGTGTCGCTTAATTCTCTGGAAGGCCTGCAATGGCTCGTCAACCTCAGGTTGCTGCGGGCACACAGATGCCTCAGTGGTTATGGAGAAAATGGAAGGTGTATCCTTCCACAATCACTTGAGGGACTTTACATCAGAGAGTATTCTCAAGAAATTCTACAGCCCTGCTTCCAGACGAATCTCACTTGCTTAAAAAGATTAGAGGTATCAGGCACTGGAAGTTTCAAATCTCTGGAGTTGCAATCATGCACTGCACTCGAACATTTGAAGATTGAAGGTTGTTCATCACTTGCCACATTAGAGGGCTTGCGATTCCTCCACACCCTCAGGCATTTGAAAGTACACAGATGTCCCAGATTGCCTCCATATTTTGAGAGTTTGTCAGGACAGGGCTATGAGCTATGCCCACGACTGGAAAGGCTCGAGATCAATTATCCCTCAATCCTTACCACGTCGTTTTGCAAGAACCTCACCTCTCTACAATACCTAGAGCTTTGCAATCACGGATTGGAAATGGAAAGACTAACGGACGAGGAAGAGAGAGCGCTTCAACTCCTCACTTCCCTGCAAGAGCTCCGATTTAACTGTTGCTACAATCTCGTAGATCTTCCCACAGGGCTCCACAACCTTCCCTCCCTCAAGAGGTTGGAGATCTGGAATTGCGGGAGCATCGCGAGGCCGCTGGAAAAGGGTCTCCCACCTTCGTTGGAAGAACTGGCTATCGTAGATTGCAGTAATGAGCTAGCTCAGCAGTGCAGATTGCTAGCAAGCAAGCGGAAGGTCAAAATTAATCAGAGATATGTGAATTGATTACTCGGTGGCTTTTTCCACCTGCCCAACTGGCATGGGCTCGTTCAGGCGTTCAAGCTGCTGTAAATTCCATTGCCGCAATGACGACCTTCAGAACCGTTACACAATACAAAGGACATATGATGGCTAGATCAACTGTCACATACAAATTCTATAATTCTATCTACTGAAAAGGATGATTGCTGTTCATTTTCGTGATTACAGAAGGAACTGTGTATATCGTGCTATTTTTGCATTCACATTGTGTTCCAGGTTGTGCTCGGATCAGCCAATTTCGGTGGTTAATTCACTTTGCTGTGTCCTCTGTGCAGTGTGCACTCAAGAATTGTTCGCACATGCAATTCAGTTGAGCATCGCACTACGCAAGTTTTTTTTTTTTTGTTAACAAAGGAGTGGTTGACAGCATTGCAGGTTGCTAAAACAGTGTCAAAAATTTGCTAACAAAAGAATTCTCTTCAGAAATAGTATGAAAATAAATGCCACATAAGTAATCTGAGTAAAACAGACAGAATCACTAGAGAAGACTAACGACAAACTCTTCTTTTTCTATTTCTGTGGTGAAAAACTCAGCATATAATCTCATGTATGCATTGGAGGTGCATACCATTTCGATCATGTATGCATTTAGCTGAACATTATCAAGAAGCAAATTTATTGCACGGGCAACCATAAGCTAAACTAATTCTCAAGCAATTTAATAATCACAAAACAGTCTGCAATACCAAGATATATAAAACTTTTGCCAGCATGGAGCAACAACACTGAAACACTACAGTCAAGACAGCTCCCAGAAAAGATTATATGTTGCTACTTCAATTGCCACAGTTACAATCACCCATAATGACACATCAAATTACATAAGAGTATTAAGAGTATATGACAGTTGTAACAAAACAACTGCATTGAGAACTAGAAGAACAGACAGCCACATGAACCATATTCACTTCTTCAGATCAGAAAGCCTGGTGAACTACCAGTCTACCAATTGCTACCGTAGTCTCCATTTTTCACTTATATGTACATAGGACACCTGCGCTATCAGAATAGCCACAAAGCCAGTTCACTCGCTACAAATTAATCTTGACTAAATCCAAACAGATACCAACTCCTCTTAATCAACTTACAAAACACCTACACTTTTGTTGTCTCTACACCACCAATCACACAAAAGGAAATTAATCATCCACCTACTCGTATCCTACTGTTAGAATGGAGGCCTTACACCAGAGAATGGGCATTGCCAGATTCTGAGACACTGTCCTTTGAGCTCCCTGAATCTGAACCAGTAACAAAAATCAAATAAGACACAACCCAAAACCTTCCGTTCATCAAGAAGTTGGATGTTCAAATTATAAAGTGACAGTTCGATCGTACCACTGGATGATGAGGACCCACTGCTCGCGGCCTCAGTATCCTTCTCAATCTCCACTGATTGGTAAGTTGCTGTTGGCATTTCATCCCCGACATCTACACAGGGGCGGACCCAGGGCTGGTGCCGGGTATGCACCGGCATACCCAGAAAATTCGGAAAAGATTTAGTAGGCAGTATGCATCAGTGGGCTGAAACTAAGCAAAAGCCCAAGAAGTAAAAGTCTAGCTGTTGCACAGCCCACCAGAAGATGATGTTCCCCTTTGGCTAGCACTCATGCGGTAGGGTTTGGAGCAGGCGTTGGCGGCGCTGCGACAGCGTGGCGCGCTGTGGCACTGTATCATTGATCGGCAGCCTCATGGCAAGCACGACGCATGGACGGTTTGAGCGTCGTGGCGCTGCGGCCGGACAGCGAGCACCGGTGGCAGAGGCTGCCGGTCACTGGGCTAGGCGCTGACTAAATCACCTGGTCCAGTTCCACTCATTATCTGTCCATGTCCAAGTATACTCAAACTTCTTCAGTTCTTTGTCTCTCTGATTTTTTTTTCTTAACAGATGGAGACATAGATTGATTGAAAATTGAAAACTATAATGAGCTAACAAGTGAAATCAATGAGAGTACAAACTTCAAAAATTGAATACATGTTTTTGTGATTTGTACGCTGAGATCAAGTTGAATCAATCAGATTAGAATACGAAGAAGAATATGGGTATTCTTTTTCTTTCTTTAGCAAAGCACCATTAGATTCTGCTTCATCAGGCCATGCCCTATGCTTCACATTTCTAATGGTGATGGGAAACCTTAGAACAGGGAGGGAAAGTAACTGAACAAAGTGAGTTGTGTTATTTTGTTCTTCAATTCACCCTCAGGATACACCAATACTTTCCTAAAATTAAGACTATATTTGTGTCATCATGTGCATATAGTGTTTGATTTGCCTCTCTTGATAGCTAGCATGGGCAAACCCAGGACAAAAATTCTGGGTCCGCCACTGCATCTACATACTCATCCAACTGCTCGGCCTGTGTAGTGATCTTGTCAGGATCCTTGCTCTCCTGTAAACAACAAAACACATCTATTATACAATTAAAGGAATAGAAAAAGGAGCCTCCACGTTCGCTCTCATGGCCTAGAAATTCTCACATTAATCGAAGAAAAAGAAAAACAGAGTCCATATATAGAAATACAATTTAGAAATAGTTGAAATTCGAAATTAAAAAATAAGGAATATTAGAAGATGAGACTAGAGTCCATATAGAAATACACTTTAGAAATAGTTGAAATTCGGAATTAAAAAATAAGGAATATTAGAAGAGGAGTATAGAGTCCATATAGAAATACAATTAGGAAATAATAGAAATTCGGAATTAAAAATAAGGAATATTAGAAGTAGAGTATAGAGTCCATATAGAAATACAATTAAGAAAAAAAATAGAAATTCGGAATTAAAAAATAAGAAATATTAGAAGTAGAGTATAGAGTCCATATAGGAATTTAAAACTAACTAAAATTCGGAAAAAAAAAAGAAGCCACCACGTTCGCTCTCATGACCTAGAAATTCTCACATTAATCGGAGAAAAAGAAAAGGCAGAGTCTATATAGAAATACAATTCAGAAATAGCTGAAATTCAGAATTAAAAAAATAAGGAATATTAAAAGAGGAGACTAGAGTCTATATAGAAATACAATTTAGAAATAGCTAAAATTCGGAATTAAAAAATAAGGAATATTAGAAGAGGAGACTAGAGTCCATATAGAAATATGATTCAGAAATAGCTGAAATTCGGAATTAAAAAATAAGGAATATTAGAACAGGAGACTAGAGTCCATATAGAAATACAATTAGGAAATAACAAAAATTCGGAATTAAAAATAAGGAATATTAGAAGTAGAGTATAGAGTCCATATAGAAATACAATTAAGAAATAACCGAAATTCGGAATTAAAAATAAGAAATATTAGAAGTAGAGTATAGAGTCCATATAGAAATACAATTAAGAAAAAAAATAGAAATTTGAAATTAAAAAATAAGGAATACTATAAGTAGAGTATAGAGTTCATATTGGAATTTAAAACCAACTAAAATTCGGAATAAAAAGTAGCCTCCACGTTCGCTCTCATGGTCTAGAAATTCTCACATTAATCAGAAAAAAAGAAAAAGCAGAGTCCATATAGAAATACAATTTAGAAATAGCTGAAATTCAGAATTAAAAAATAAGGAATATTAGAAGAGGAGACTAGAGTAGTTATTATACATTAGTAGTTTTGAAAAGTTATTGCAAAATTTAAAATTATGTTGTCATTGTAATATATTTTAATAATATAATGAGAAAATATATATGATATTATATAAGAGAAAATATAATGATGCTAGCCGCGTAATCTACGCGGACCACCATGCTAGTTAACCATTATAAGAGCTCATTTCACACATAAGCTAATAGCAACCAAGAACAAAGCATGCTGCTCACTATTGCCATCGTCACATCACCGTTGTCCACCATCGTAGCGGTACTGCCATTCACCAGCATATCACTATCATTAGCCACGGAAGCATCAATGACATCGGCATTTTCACCATTAACAATGGCAGCCCGTCGACTCTTGTTGAGCGCCTTCTTGAATTTGTTGACGAATCGATCAAGCTCCCACTGTGTCTCGACATCCATCTCATCAATATCCAGCTCGATCTCACCCCCAACCAGCTCAGGATTGCCATTCCTCTTCCGCACAATCTGCAACACATTATGCATCTTCTCCTCTGGCAAGCTCTCCAACCCAACCCTCAACAAGTTCTTCTCCTCCAGGGTCATCTCCCTCTTGTTCGGCTCCCTTGCCTTCGTTTTCCGCATTTTCACATTCCCTGCCCTTGGTTTCACCTGCGCCGGAGCTTTCGCCGGTGGCAATTCCGGTGGCGGCACTGGCATCGGCGGCTCAAGGATCTTGAGTTCCTGCTCGAACCAAGACACCGACGCTTTGTACATCTTCTCAAAGGACGCGAGGAGGTCGCCGGCGAAGGTGTGGACCTCGTGTCCAGCAGGGTTGTACCGCAGCGCGTTGCTGAACGTGAGCCGGATGTCGGCGGCGAAGTCGTCGTGCGAGGGGTACCTTCCGGCGGCGAGGTTCGCCCTCACCGTGCCGAGATCCATGGGGCACTTGATGACGGCGTGGTAGTCTTGGAGTCCGAGGCGGTCGACCTCCACGGGGGCGTTGAACCAGATGCTCCGCTTGTCCTTCCGCAGCTTCGCCAGGATCTGGTCGCACCGCTTCCGCATCGCCGCCCTGAGCTTCGCCGGCGGCGGGGGGAGGCCCCGGCGAGGCGAGCCATGGGCGCTTCGGCGGCTTCTGCTGTTGCTGACCCCACGAGCCAATGCGGGAGATGAGGCGCGGACCAGGCCGAGGCCCAACTCGCCTGCGACTCCGCGAGGCCCATGAGAGTTCGTTTGGGCTATCAGTCCATTACGGACAAGAAGCCCGAGGGCGCGGCCCACATCCTTCCGTCTTCCCCGCCTTTCCTTCCCTGCCTCGTCGACCGCGTTATCCCGTCTCAAGTCTCAACTCCCAACCTGCGATGCGCCGTAGAAATTTGATACTCGTGTCACTCGTCGTCTTCCTTTGCTTCACTAATCACTCCAATGACGCGACACGCATCTCTCTCAAAAAGAAAAGGATTGGTATGTAACTGTCTACAAGTGATGAATTCATCACTCACGCAGTTCACTGCACATCGTCCCAGTACGCGCACTATCTTGGCAGCAAAAAGTTGTACCAGAATGATCTTGCGTTCTTGGCAGGACATGATCGATCAAAATAATCTCAAGCACTTTGGCTACACACAATGAACGAAATTTTGCAGCTCGGCAGCTCACCAAGGATGGGCGCAACTCAACCACGACTGAAATCGGTGCTGACACTTTTAGCAGCATCTTTGTGATTCAGCCGTGGTTTCTCCGGCGCGTCTCCTTCTGTTCAGAGAAAACCGAATAGTTCGGGTTCGGATTCAGTTCGAAGCAAGCATGGCTTAAAATCAGTTCATGCACACACAGCTGCCCCCTTGGCATTTGTGTGCACTGACACGATGCCGTCTGTCCTACGCGGGTTGGTAGTATGATGAAAGGGTTTGGAAACCGATCTAAAAAACCGTTCGGATCATCGGGTTTTTGACTAGCCATGAAAGTGAAATTGTCCGAAAAGGATAAAAGAGCGAACGACGTCGTCGGTCCAGCACAAAGCTCAGCGCTCAATCACGTCAGAGAAACCGATCACTTCGGGTCCGGGTTCGGTTCTGGAGAGCTAACTAAGGACTTACGGAGTGGTATGTTCAACTGTTCAGAGTATTTAACTTCACGGCCAATACGTTGTCGTCCACCAGAGTGCATGTGAGCGTCACGACGCATCGGATAATTTGACCATTCGTAGGTTGCTGTTGGCGAGCACGGCGAAACCCGAGACGCGGGTTCGGTTTCGGTTAATCCGTTTCGCGGTCGCGCGCGGCCACGGGCACACGGCCATGGCGCCATGCCGCTGTCTCCCCCTCGCTGGCTGCGACGCTTGACTATTTTTATTCTTCATCTCCATTTGATTGATTTAATCTCTCGTTGCAGCAGCAGGCAACGTGCAATCGGTTCGGTTTTGCTACTGTTCGGGTTCCCCTGGCCCTCTCCCCCCTATAAATACACGCCTCCAAAGTCCAATCCAATCCGCCATGAACACTCGGTGCTCGAGCCATTTCCAATTCCAAGCTTACATCGAATCACCATCCACGACAAAGAAGACGCATACGCTGGTGATGGAGCTCATGGCCTCCCTCATCAACATCTTGGCGCTGATCTCCGAGGCATGCCGCAGCGCGGAGAAGCTGCCGGCGGCGCTGATCACTGGCGGCGTCGTGGAGGCCGCGGCGGCGATCTTCGTCGCCTTCTTCAAGCCGCCCGGTGGCGTATTTCAGCACCACGGCAAGGCACCATTCTACCTGTATTACGGCATTATAGGAGGCGTGGCCATCTTCGGCTTCGCGGAGGCGTGGGCCGGGTTCTGGGTCTCCGGCGACCTGAACGGCCGGCGCGCCGTCGGAAAGACGATACTGTGGGTGTCGATTTTGCCTCTTGTCTTGGTAGCTGCGCTCGGAGGGTTCGTCTTCATGAGATAGTTGCAAACCTATGTTAATTTCCTCTGTTTGTACGAGTGGGTGTAATCTCCTGTACCTCTGTGTGTAGTAGTTGTAGCGTGTATGCACTAGTTTTTGCTTTGTAATTTTTAGCCTGGTGTATTTATGATATTTCAGTTATTATGTGATGTAACAGTATGATTGTTAACTTTTACAAGGTTTTATGTAATTATACATAAGGTTATTTTTTGTGTGATACTCCCTCCGTTTTTTAATAGTGACGCCGTTGACTTTTTCTCACATGTTTAACCATTCGTCTTATTCAAAAAATTTATGTAATTATAATTTATTTTGTTATGAGTTATTTTATCACTCATAGTACTTCAAGTATGATTTATATCATATACATTTGCATAAAATTTTTGAATAAGACGAATCATCAAACATGTGAGAAAAAGCCAATGGCGTCATATATTAAAAAACGGAGGTAGTATGTGATTATGCGCGTTTTCCTTGCATTTCTTTAGCTACGGATGTTGTACAGGTGTACCTCTTTTATGAGTATTCCTCCAATCTTCTGCTTATATCCTTCTCGAAATCATGGCAGTAATCAACCAATCATAATCTTAAAAGAATCATGGTAGACGCAGAGCAACCAGTTAGTACATATTTGAAAGAACAGGCCCTTGCATTGCAGGGCCGTATCCTGTAGGCTGCGGTGTTTCAAAGCAGGAAAAAGTACACCGAAGGTCCCTCAACTTGTTATCGAGTTACAAAATCGTCCCTCAACCGCAAAACCATACCGGACGTCCCTCAACTAACAAAACTGTTCACTTTAACGGTGGTTTTGACCCCGGTTTTATTTGAGGTGGCGGCTGAGTCAGCGTGGGACCCACGTGGGCCCCACATGTCAGAATGCCAGGTCGTCTCTCTCTCCTCTTCTCTCCCTTCCTCGTCTCTCCCTCTCACTTCTCTCCTCTCTGCAGGGCGGCTGGCGGGTGGGGAGGAGGTCCGGCAGCCAGCGGCGGCGCGTGCGACCTCGGGGTCGGACCGTCGGAGAGGCCCGGGAGGCGGCTGCGGCGGCGGCGGCGACGCTTGAGAAGGGAGAGGCGGCCGGTGGCGCCGGCGCGGGAAGAAGCTGTCTTCGGCGTCGTGCCCGCTCTGCCCTCCACCGCCTGCTTCGCCCGCCGCTGCCCCGCGCTCACACACTCCCGCCGGCGACGCCGCTGACGGCGCGGGCGCGAGAACTGCGGCCATGGATGACGACGGCGGCGACATCCTCGCTCCCCCCGTTCCGCTCCCCGTCGGCGCCATCTTCCTCTCCCGCAGCGCGCCTGCCCGCCGCTCGTCTGCTCCGTCGGCCGGCCGCTCCCCGCGCAGTCGGCGGTGGCGAAGGTGACCGTGCCGGCGTCGAGGTCGTAGCCGACGTGGATGTTCTGCTGCGCCAGGTTCCCAAGGATGGACACCGGCTGCTGCTTCGTCGTCGCCACGATTGCCAGGCACAGCGTCCCCTCCTACACCGTCACGGACGCGTTCTCCGGCTTCAGCGCCACCGCCGCGCGGCCGCCGCCACCGCCGAACTCCAGCGTCAAGTCCGGACTCGCTTGTTCGGTTTGCTTCCTGCTGGATGTACACATGAGGTCATTCAAGATCAGTAACTCATACTCTATTCTAGCAAGCTGGCTGTTGGTGAGAATTCTGAATTCTCATTGCATCGCCTAACGAAGATAGAAGATCGGAGTGTTATACATCAATCAATTTCTTAGCTGGGAATGTTACTCCTGCATTGCTCTACAATTTATGGGTCATGTAATTTGATCTCTCACAGAATCTATAGCGAGGTAAGAAAGCGAAACCGGCGCCACAAAATATCTTGAAATTCTGCTTGTTCATACACTGTTCTTCTGATTAAAGAACAACTTAGCTTGAGATTGTTCTGTTCACTTGCAATTTGCAGGAGTAACAAAGCTTATTTTTGCATTGCCCGAGTCCACAATGATGCGGGAGCTCGCCGCCGATGCCACCGTCTTGTTGCCGACCCTGACGAAGTCGAGGACCACGGTGTAGTACGTGTCCACGTCCCCGGCGACGAGCGGCGTGCTCGCTGCGCCGAGCTCGGTGACGTTGGCGAGGGTGCCGAAGTTGAACGCCGACGATGAGTTGACGGAGTGCGGGACGAGGCTGTAGGAGAATCTCCGGCCGAGCGACGCCTCGCCGCCGAGCTGCGTCACGAGGGAGACCGCGTCGCCGCTGAGCCCGACCAGCCCGTCGGCCGGGAACGAGCCGGCCGTCGTGGTGGAGCAGCCGAACTTGACGCTGCACACGCCGCCTCGTGGTCGTGGGCCTCGTGGGTGGCGGCCGGCGGGGGAGCCCGCGAGCCGCTCCTACCCCTGCCGCCCTCCACCACTGCCCGCCCGCAGGTCCTCCCCCCACTGCTGCCGCGTCGCCCGTCGCCGCCACCACCGCAGCCGCGTCGCCATCGAATCGGGGAGAAGTCAGAAAGACATGAGGAAAGGAGAGAAGAGGGGAGGAGAGAGATGACCTGGCATCCTGATATGTGGGGCCCACGTGGGTCCCACGCTGACTCAACCGTCACGTCACACAAAACCAGGATCAAAACCACCGGAGAATCTAAAGTGAACGGTTTTATTAGCTGAGGGACGTCCGGTATCTGGTTTTGTGGTTAAGGGACGATTTTGTAACTCGATGATAAGTTGAGGGACCTTCGGTGTACTTTTTCCTTTCAAAGCATAATGAAGAAATCAAACTTGTCAGGTCTCAGATGGCTCGCAAGCAGTTCTCCGGAAAAGGAGGAGAGAAGAAGATATGGACATACGGGGTTAATACTAATGCATTAGCATAAGCTGTTCAGTTCCGGGTTCGGTTGTGACATGTACTGATTTCTTTGTTAATAGTTAATCAGCGGAAATCATGTCTTTTTCTTATTGGTGGGTCCCCGACTGTGGATCTTTTTGCGCGCCTCTCTTGGTTTGGATTGCAAAGAAGCCTACCGACCCGGTTTCGGGTTCGGGTTCGGGTTCGTTGCTCAGCGCTTGTGTTGCTTTGCTCAGGCATACTGCATACATATGCTTTCAGAATGTCTCTATCAATCCGGGTTGAAAAAAGTGGTCTTGTTGAGATGAAATTGCTTATCGGCACCATTCGGGTTCGGTTCAAGTCGTCGGTTTCCTGTACTACTGCTAGTCAGAAAACCGAGCTACGTGGCCGATCGGGTTCGGGTTTCCGAGAGCAAACAACGTAGCGTGTGCTCGTCATTTTGCAATCGCTCCACTTGCTGCGAGCTCGGCGAACGGTTAATCTGGACGCCATCCCTACGAAAACCCGAGACGCGGTCTGGCGGGGGTCGGTGCTTCGGTTCGGTTCATGGTATAGATGGCCTTTCGGCCCGCCCGGCACGGCCCGGCCCAGGAACGGCCCACCAGCCATCGGGCCGGCACGGCCCGATCGGCACTTCGTGCCGGGCCGTGCCGACCCATGGGCTGCACCTCCCGCCCAGGCACGGCCCACCAGCCGTCGGGCCGTGCCGGGCCGGCCCGAAGGCGCGGGTGGCCCATCGTGCCTTTTTATATAAGTCTATATTCCATCCCTCCTCTTTGGGCCGTGAAATATATATAGCGAAAATAAGTCTATTTGCCGTCCCTCTTCTTTGGGCTGTGGCATATATATAGTGAAAATAAGTCTATTTTCTGTCCCTCCTCTTTGGGTTGACATATATATATATATAGCTAAAATAAGACTATTTTACGTCTCTATTCTTTCGACCATGGCATATAATATGTCTATTTTTACTCCCTATTGTTTATGTGTCGGGCCTAGCCTGAGGCCCATCGTGCCGTGCCGGCCCGGCACGGCCGGGCCGGCCCGGTAGTCGGGCCGGGCCAGCACGGGCCCAACCCCTAACGGGCCGTGCCGTGCTTGGGCCGGGCCAAAACGCCGTGCCGTGGGCCGGGCCATCGAGCGTCGGGCCTTTTGGCCATCTATAGTTCATGGTGTGTGGGCTGTGTTCCCTATGGGACCATTCGGGTGATTTAATTAGCACGAAAAACGGAGTAGTTAATTAGCACGTTGATTAATTAAGTATTATTTAATTTTCTTTTTAAAAATGGATCAATATAAATTTTTTAAAGAACTTTCATACAGAAATTTTTTTAAATAAACATACTGTTTGTCAGTTTAAAAAACGTACACGCGGAAAACGAGAAAGGAGTGTTAAGAATTTGCTCTTGCAAACACAGCCATGGATGGACACGATGGATCATGGATCGCTGCGACTTGCCCGCGAATGAATCTCCGTCGAGGGCTCGAGGCAGTCCTGGGTTTGGCTTTGTGCGTCGGGTTTCGCCGGTGTATTAAACAGGCACAAGCATAAAACTCCAAGTCACCGAGCAGCTCCGATTTTTTTATTTTTAGTTTTTATTAAAATATTTACAAAACTAATTTTGTGTTTTAAAAATTTACAAAACTAGTCACCCATCGCCCGTGGCAGATGGCAGTTGCCTCATGCCTAACGGGCGGCAAAGAAGGGCGTGCCATTTTGCAGATGGCCCCCCTTGCTGCCCTTAGGTTATAAATACCAAAGAGGCCGCTTCCAAAATGCCAAGCCGTCCTCGCCGCCCTTTTGCAGGCGGCCCCCGCACAGTAGAAAATCGCCCTCTATAAGGGTGGCAAGGGGGCCGCCTGCAAAAATGTCCCTACGGACGGCAGGAGGGTAGCCTGCAAAATGGCAGGCCTTCCTTTGCCGGCCGTTAGACATGAGGCAACGATCGTCTGCCACGTCATTAAAATCGATCTTTAGGAGGGATTTATGGACCAGTAAGTCCAACGTGTGCAAAGTATTCCACCCGAAAAATCCGTCGGGAAACCGATAGAGTATATGCGTGGCCGTTCGGGTTTATCATTTTGTATTTCTTCCGCTTGCGCGCGTTGGCACTGCACTGCTCACTACGCTCTCGGCGAGTGATTACTCTGGTCGCGCGACAACCCGTAACGCGATCTCGCGGTCGCGGGTTCGGTTTCGGTTGAGCTGTGGTGTGGATCGCTGCAACTTTTGCTTGAAAAATGAAAAACATGTTCGTCCGCGATTTTCTGTCCGTCGCCTCTCACTGATCGAGAGATGCAACACAGTCTGAGCGATCGGGTTCGGTTTTTGTGCTCTGCTTTCACCATGAAGTCATCACCAGGCTCACTGCGTCTGCCTCCTCGCACCATTCAGCATTCACCGAGTTGAAAAAACCACAAACTAAGGCGTTCCCCCTGATGATACAGCACGCGAGCTACGCACGCACAGACATACGGTACAGACATGCCGGCGCCCGCATCGACGTCGAGAAGCTGCTCACTCATCCCGTGCCGGCGTCTTGCAAGTCGCGGCGGCGGCGCTCTGCCTGGGCTTACGGCCCAAATTCGGCCTGCAGGCCCGATTTTGAGTTGTCAAGTCAGAGCCCACCGACTTGGAGGCAGTCGGCCCAAGCATTTGAAAGCCCAGAAACATCTGCTCCGAGTGCTCACCTTCCGTGTAGCTTCCTAGTAGTTCCTACACTACCAAACTACCGCATTATTTATATCCCTCACAAAAAAAAAATAAAAAGGACTACCCGCATTTTATATTGCTCATCTGCCCTCCTCGAATACCTCCCATATTATTCCCATCTCTGCCTTTTGCTTACCACTGACCACTGTCTTCTCGCGAGGCTCGCCACTGGTCCATTGTCGCCCAAGCTCCAAAGGCTTCTCTTCCGCCGGATCTGATGGAGGAGGTGGAGGTCGGTTTGCTGGAGGGAGGGATCGGGTGGCTGGTGCAGACCATCCTGGAGAACCTGGACACCGATAAGCTGGGTGAGTGGATTCGTCAGGTTGGGCTCACCGATGACACCGAGAAGCTCAGGTCAGAGATCGAGAGGGTGGAGGTGGTGACGGCTGCCGTGAAGGGGAGGGCGATCGGGAACAGGTCGCTTGCCCGATCGCTCAGCCGTCTCAGGGAGCTGCTCTACGACGCCGACGACGCGATCGACGAGCTCGACTACTACAGGCTCCAACAGCAGGTTCAAGGAGGTAAAGCTTGTGTATGCAAGATGTATCCATTTTTGTGTCCAAGGAGGTGCATTCATTCCCCTTTTTCTGTTGTTTCAGATGCATGGCAAGGTGGCACTGGAAGTTTAGATGAACCTGAAGCAGAGCAAGCAGAGAGACCGAGTATCAACGCTGCTATTGCGATTAGCAGTGGTAGCAAAAAGCGGTCCAAGGCATGGGGGCACTTTGATATCACTGAAGAAGAAAATGGAAAGCCTGTGAAGGCAAGGTGTATTCACTGTCACACGGTGGTCAAGTGCGGTTCTGAAAAAGGGACATCAGTTTTGCATAATCACCTCAAGAGTGGCAGCTGTAACAAGAAGCGTGAGGCAACTGATCAGCAGCCAAACCCGTCATCAAGGTACGGTATATGATTTATGTAACGTACTTTCCCCCGCAGCAAGCCAGCAACTGTGAAACCGTTCTGTTTTTTTTTAAAAAATATTTTTATTTTGCAGTACTGCTGATACTGCAGCAAATAGCACTCTTGTTGAACTCGGCGGTTCAGGTTCAGACATCAGAAAAAAGATGAGGATTAATGGTGAGTCAACACACAACGATGCACCTTATGCACACCCTTGGAAAAAGGCTGAATGTTCCACAAGGATACAGCAAATAACTCGTGAGTTACAAGATGCACGGGGGGCTGTGAGTGAAATTCTTAAGCTACATGGACCGTGCTCTGTTGGAAATTCAAACCATCGTACGAGTACAACCACAACTCTCTGCAGAAGAACGTCAAGTCTTAATCCACACAAAATATATGGAAGAGACGCAGAGAAGAACACCATCATGAAGATTATTACAGATGACAGTTATGACGGAGTAACTGTAGTCCCTATTGTGGGCATCGGAGGAGTTGGGAAGACAGCTCTCGCTCAACTTGTATACAACGAACCAACGGTGAAACGTGACTTTGAGCGGATATGGGTTTGGGTGTCTGATAACTATGATGAATTGAGGATCACAATGGAGATTCTAGATTTTGTCTCTCAAGAAAGACACGAAGAATCTCCCTGTAGAAAAGAAATACGGAAAGGAGTAAGTAGCTTTGCAAAGCTTCAGGAGATTTTGAATGGGTATATGGACATCCAGTCGAAAAAGTTTTTGCTTGTTTTAGATGACGTATGGGACAGCATGGATGATTACAGATGGAATATTTTGTTGGATCCATTGAAATCAAATCATCCAAAAGGTAATATGATCCTTGTGACAACTAGACTTTTGTCTCTCGCACAGAGGATAGGCACAGTCAAACCAATCGAGTTAGGTGCTTTGTCAAAAGAGGATTTTTGGTTGTATTTTAAAACATGTACATTTGGTGATGAGAATTACAAAGCACATCCAAGTTTGAACATCATTGGGCAGAAGATAGCTGACAAGTTAAAGGGCAATCCATTAGCAGCAAAAGCAACAGCGCTGCTATTAAGAGAAAAACTTACTGTTGATCATTGGAGCAACATTCTGATGAACGAAGATTGGAAATCCCTGCATTTCAGTAGAGGCATCATGCCTGCTTTGAAGCTTAGCTATGATCAGCTGCCTTACCATTTACAACAGTGTTTGTTGTATTGTTCCATATTCCCTAGTAGTTATCGCTTTGTCAGCAAGGAGTTGATCTGTATTTGGATTTCTCAAGGCTTTGTGCATTGCAACTCTTCAAGTAAGAGACTGGAGGAGATAGGGTGGGACTACCTAACTGATTTGGTGAACTCTGGCTTCTTTCAGAAAGTTGATCATACACACTATATCATGTGTGGCCTTATGCATGATTTTGCAAGGATGGTTTCAAGGACTGAGTACGCAACTATAGATAATCTACAGAGCAACAAAATACTGCCAACTATACGTCATTTGTCAATACTAAACAATTCTGCACACTATGAAGATCCTAGTAACGACAAGGTTGAAGGAAGAATTAGAAATGCAGTTAAAGCAATGAAACATTTGAGGACTTTGGTGCTAATTGGGAAACATAGCTCTTTATTCTTCCAATCCTTCAAAGATGTAGTCCAGAAGGGACATCATTTACGTCTGTTGCAAATCTCTGAAACATGTACTTATGTTGACCCCTTGCTTTGCAATCTGGTGAATCCAGCCCATATTCGCTATATGAAGCTTCACAAAAGAGCTTTGCCTCAATCTTTCAGCAAGTTTTACCATCTTCAAGTATTAGATGTTGGCTCAAAATCTGATCTGATTATACCTAATGGTGTGGATGATCTAGTTAGTCTGCAGCATCTTGTAGCAGCAGAGAAAGCATGCTCGTCCATCACTAGCATCAGCAAAATGACCTCTCTTCAGGAACTACATAACTTTGGTGTTCAAAATTCTAGCGGCTGGGAGATAGCACAACTCCAGTCCATGAACCAGCTTGTACAGCTCGGTGTGTCTCAACTTGAAAATGTCACAACTAGAGCTGAGGCTTGTGGTGCAAAACTAAGAGACAAACAGAACTTAGAAAAGCTGCGCCTTTCGTGGACTAATTTACATAAATTGGGTCATTTGGGGACTAACGTGCCATGGGATGAACGTGAAAATGCAAGAGCAGTGCTTGAGGGTCTTGAACCACATACAAATCTTAAGCACCTAGAGATATATTCGTACAATGGTGCTACCCCTCCAACATGGCTTGCCACTTCACTTACCTCTTTACAGACTCTCCGTCTAGAGTGTTGTGGACAATGGAAAATGATTCCATCACTGGAACGTCTTCCCTTTCTTAAAAAGATGAAGTTGGAGAGTATGCAGAAAATAATAGAAATGACAGTTCCTTCGCTGGAGGAGCTGATGTTAATTGACATGCCAAATTTGGAGAGATGCTCCTGCACTTCCATGAGGGACTTAAACTGCAGTTTAAGGGTTCTGAAGGTTAAAAAGTGCCCTGTGCTGAAGGTCTTTCCATTGTTCGAGGACTGCCAAAAATTTGAAATTGAGCGGAAATCATGGTTGTCCCACCTTAGCAAGCTTACTATCCATGATTGTCCTCATTTGCATGTGCACAATCCTCTTCCACCTTCTACTATTGTTTTGGAATTATCCATCGCCAAAGTTTCAACACTTCCAACGTTGAAGGGGTCATCCAATGGAACATTAACAATTTGGCTTCCCAATGATGATGATGTTCCTGATAAGCTGATAACGTTGGATGATAACATTATGTCGTTCCATAACCTGAGTTTCCTAACTGGATTGGAAATATATGGTTTCCAAAATCCGACGTCTATTTCATTCCATGGTTTGAGGCAACTCAGATGTTTGAAGACTTTAAAAATATACGACTGCCCAAAACTTCTCCCTTCAAATGTTCCATCAGAGCTTACCGGTGAATATATGTCAGGAGAAAATCACAGCGCCCTTCCATCTCTCGTACGTCTCCATATTGAGAAGTGTGGAATAATGAGGAAGTGGCTGTCTCTGTTGTTGCAACATGTGCAGGCCCTACAGGAACTGAGTTTAGATAACTGCAAGCAGATAACAGGGCTATCGTTAGGACAGGAAGAAAACAATCAACCAAATCTTATGTCAGCTATGGAGGATCCATCATTAGGATATCCAGGTGAAGATAAACTTATGCGCCTTCCATTAAATCTCCTCTCCTCTCTGAAAAAGGTATCTATTACATTGTGCAATGATATAACATTCTACGGCAGCAAGGAAGATTTCGCTGGATTTACCTCCCTTGAGGAGTTAGTGATTTCACGATGCCTCAAGCTGGTGTCGTTCTTGGCGCATAACGACGGAAATGATGAACAGTCGAATGGAAGATGGCTCCTACCGCTATCACTTGGAAAACTTGAGATTAAACATGTTGATTCCCTAAAAACGCTGCAGCTCTGCTTTCCAGGAAACCTCACCCGCCTGAAAACACTAGTAGTGTTGGGAAACCAAAGTTTAACATCTCTGCAGCTCCATTCCTGCACAGCACTCCAAGAGTTGATAATTCAAAGATGTGAATCACTTAATTCTCTGGAAGGTTTGCAATTGCTCGGCAATCTCAGGGGGCTGCTGGCACACAGATGCCTCAGCGGCCATGGAGAAGATGGAAGGTGTATCCTTCCGCAATCACTTGAGAAACTTTACATCTGGGAGTACTCTCAAGAGAGGCTGCAGCTCTGCTTTCCAGGAAACCTCACCCGCCAGAAAATACTAGGAGTGTTGGGAAGCCAAAGTTTAACATCTCTGCAGCTCCATTCCTGCACAGCACTCCAAGAGTTGATGATTCGAAGCTGTGAATCGCTTAATTCTCTGGAAGGCTTGCAATGGCTCGGCAACCTCAGGGTGCTGCGGGCACACAGATGCCTCAGTGGTTATGGAGAATATGGAAGGTGTACCCTTCCGCAATCACTTGAGGAACTTTACATCCATGAGTATTCTCAAGAAACTCTGCAGCCCTGCTTTTCAGGGAACCTCACTCTCCTGAGAAAATTACAAGTAAAGGGGAACTCAAATTTAGTGTCTCTGCAGCTCCATTCTTGCACATCACTCCAAGAGTTGATAATTGAAAGCTGTAAGTCAATTAATTCGCTGGAAGGCTTGCAATCGCTTGGCAACCTCAGGTTGTTGCGGGCATTCAGATGCCTCAGTGGTTATGGAGAATATGGAAGGTGTATCCTTCCGCAATCACTTGAGGAACTTTTCATCAGTGAGTATTCTCTAGAAACTCTGCAGCCCTGCTTCCTGACGAATCTCACCTGCTTAAAACAATTAGAGGTATCAGGCACCACAAGTTTAAAATCTCTAGAACTGCAATCATGCACTGCACTCGAACATTTGAAGATTCAAGGTTGTGCGTCGCTTGCTACATTGGAGGGGTTGCAATTCCTCCACGCCCTCAGGCATATGGAAGTATTCAGATGCCCTGGCTTGCCTCCATATTTGGGGAGTTCGTCAGAGCAGGGCTATGAGCTATGCCCACGACTGGAAAGGCTCGACATCGATGACCCCTCTATCCTTACCACGTCGTTCTGCAAGCACCTCACCTCCCTCCAACGCCTAGAGCTTAACTATCGCGGAAGTGAAGTGGCAAGACTAACGGATGAGCAAGAGAGAGCGCTTCAGCTCCTATTGTCCCTGCAAGAGCTCCGGTTTAAGTCTTGCTACGATCTCGTAGATCTTCCTGCGGGGCTCCACAGCCTTCCCTCCCTCAAGAGGTTGGAGATCTGGTGGTGCAGGAGCATCGCGAGGCTGCCAGAGATGGGCCTCCCACCTTCGTTGGAAGAACTGGTTATCGTAGATTGCAGTGACGAGCTAGCTCATCAGTGCAGAACTCTAGCAAGCAAGCTGAATGTCAAAATTAATGGGGAATATGTGAACTGATTACTCGGTGGCTTGTTAGGCGCACCTTTTTCCACCTGCCCAACTGGCGTGGGCTCGTTCAGGCGTTCAAGCTGCTGTAAATTCCATTGCCGCAATGACGACCTTCAGAACCGTTACACAATACAAAGGACATATGATGGCTAGATCAACTGTCGCAGAGCTAGCTTTGGTTCACCTGAAAACATAAGGCCAAACGCGTGGTTCTTTTAATCAGAAGTATCAAAAATTGGTTTTGGTTTTTAACGAAAAGATGTTAGAAATTGGTTTTAATGTGCCAGATTCTGTACCAGAATTCTGTATTTTGCTCCGTAATTCTGTGCTACGACTGATGTTGTATTTAACTGATAGCAATCGACCGGCAAAACCAATCCGCTCCAATGCATTGTCACATACAAATTCTATAATTCTATCTACTGAAAAGGATGATTGCTGTTCATTTTCGTGATTACAGAAGGAACTGTGTATATCGTGCTATTTTTGCATTCACATTGTGTCCCAGGTTGTGCTCGGATCAGCCAATTTCGGTGGTTAATTCACTTTGCTGTGTCCTCTGTGCACTCAAGAATTGTTCGCACATGCAATTCAGTTGAGCATCGCACTACGCAAGTTTTTTTTTTGTTAACAAAGGAGTGGTTGACAGCATTGCAGGTTGCTAAAACAGTGTCAAAAATTTGCTAACAAAAGAATTCTCTTCAGAAATAGTATGAAAATAAATGCCACATAAGTAATCTGAGTAAAACAGACATAATCACTAGAGAAGACTAACGACAAACTCTTCTTTTTCTATTTCTGTGGTGAAAAACTCAGCATATAATCTCATGTATGCATTGGAGGTGCATACCATTTCGATCATGTATGCATTTAGCTGAACATTATCAAGAAGCAAATTTATTGCACGGGCAAACATAAGCTAAACTAATTCTCAAGCAATTTAATAATCACAAAACAGTCTGCAATACCAAGATATATAAAACTTTTGCCAGCATGGAGCAACAGCACTGAAACACTACAATCAAGACAGCTCCCAGAAAAGATTATATGTTGCTACTTCAATTGCCACAGTTACAATCACCCATAATGACACATCAAATTACGTAAGAGTATTAAGAGTATATGACAGTTGTAACAAAACAACTGCATTGAGAACTAGAAGAACAGACAGCCACATGAACCATATTCACTTCTTCAGATCAGAAAGCCTGGTGAACTACCAGTCTACCAATTGCTACCGTAGTCTCCATTTTTCACTTATATGTACATAGGACACCTGCGCTATCAGAATAGCCACAAAGCCAGTTCACTCGCTACAAATTAATCTTGACTAAATCCAAACAGATACCAACTCCTCTTAATCAACTTACAAAACACCTACACTTTTGGTGTCTCTACACCACCAATCACACAAAAGGAAATTAATCATCCACCTACTCGTATCCTACTGTTAGAATGGAGGCCTTACACCAGAGAATGGGCATTGCCAGATTCTGAGACACTGTCCTTTGAGCTCCCTGAATCTGAACCAGTAACAAAAATCAAATAAGACACAACCCAAAACCTTCCGTTCATCAAGAAGTTGGATGTTCAAATTATAAAGTGACAGTTCGATCGTACCACTGGATGATGAGGACCCACTGCTCGCGGCCTCAGTATCCTTCTCAATCTCCACTGATTGGTAAGTTGCTGTTGGCATTTCATCCCCGATATCTACATACTCATCCAACTGCTCGGCCTGTGTAGTGATCTTGTCAGGATCCTTGCTCTCCTGTAAACAACAAAACACATTAACCATTATAAGAGCTCATCTCACACATAAGCTAATAGCAACCAAGAACAAAGCATGCTGCTCACTATTGCCATTGTCACATCACCGTTGTCCACCATCGTAGCGGTACTGCCATTCACCAGCATATCACTATCATTAGCCACGGAAGCATCAATGACATCGGCATTTTCACCATTAACAATGGCAGCCCGTCGACTCTTGTTGAGCGCCTTCTTGAAGTTGTTGACGAATCGATCAAGCTCCCACTGTGTCTCGACATCCATCTCATCAATATCCAGCTCGATCTCACCCCCAACCAGCTCAGGATTGCCATTCCTCTTCCGCACAATCTGCAGCACATTATGCATCTTCTCCTCTGGCAAGCTCTCCAACCCAACCCTCAACAAGTTCTTCTCCTCCAGCGTCATATCCCTCTTGTTCGGCTCCCTTGCCTTCGGCTTCCGCATTTTCACATTCGCTGCCCTTGGTTTCACCTGCACCGGAGCTGTCGCCGGTGGCAATTCCGGTGGCGGCACTGGCATCGGCGGCTCAAGGAGCTTGAGTTCCTGCTCGAACCAAGACATAGATGCCTTGTACATCTTCTCAAAGGACGCCAGGAGGTCGCCGGCGAAGGTGTGGACCTCGTGCCCCGCAGGGTTGTATCTCAGCGCGTTGCTGAACGTGAGCCGGACGTCGGCGGCGAAGTCGTCGTGTGAGGGGTACCTTCCGGCGGCGAGGTTCGCCCTCACCGTGCCGAGATCCATGGGGCACTTGATGACTGCGTGGTAGTCGTGGAGCCCGAGGCGGTCGACCTCGACGGGGGCGTTGAACCAGATGCTCCGCTTGTCCTTCCGCAGCTTCGCCAGGATCTGCTCGCAACGCTTCCGCATCGCCGCCCTGAGCTTCGCCGGCGGCGTGGGGAGGTCCCGGCGAGGCGAGCCATGGCGCTTCACCTGACCCTGCTGCCACGTGTCGATCCGGGCGATGAGGGCGCGGACCTGGCCAAGCTCGCCGGCGAGGCGGTCCCGCAGCGCGCGGGCCTCGCGGTGAGCCATTGCCCCCGGCCGCAGCGCCACGTAGCTTGACGGCGGCGGCCTCGTGGCCGAGCCGTTGGCGCGCTGCTGGAGAGGGTGGTTGGGATCGGAATTGGGGGCCACGGGCGCGAGCGGGGCACGGGTCTCCCCCCACTGGTGGTGGTGGTGGTGGTGGTTAACCCCGCCCCGGCCGGCGAGCAGGGCGGAGGCCATCACCGTCGCCGTCGCCGGCGAGGGTTTCGCGTGCTGCTGCTGCTGCGCTGGCGAGAGTGGGTGGATCCGCACGGGGAAAGGGGAGAAGCCGAGGAGATATTTTTTTTCTCTCTCTGTGGCGGGTGGATGTGCCCGAGGCGAGATCCTGACCGTTGATGTCTATTCGGAGGCAGATCGAACGGTGGAGATCTGCGTAGAGTTGCCCGCGGGCAGTGGGGAGTGGACGGCTAGGATGTTGGTAATGGTGTGACGTGGCAAGATCTTGCTGCGTGATCGTTATGACGTGATTCGTGAACATATAACGGTAGTGAAGGTGCAACTGGGTTATTATTTGAGTGATTAGTACTAGTTTAAGTCTTACTACGTGATTGTACATTTGCACTTAGCTTATTACTCCATCTGTTCTATATTACTCGTTGCTTTGATTTTTTTTCGTAGTCAACTTTTTAAAATATGATAGAAAAATATAGCAACATTTGAAACACAAAATTAGTTTGATTAAATCTAATATTGTATATATTTTGATGATATGTTTAATTGGTGTTGAAAATGCTACTATTTTTTCTCTAAACTTAGTTAAATATAAAGAAATTTGATTATGAAAAAGAAATAAAAAAACTTATAACATAAAATGGGGTCGTATTTTTTTACACACTTAGCTTATTACATTGTGATACAACTGTATGCATGTGCCAATGCTCCCGTGTCTTGCTTTCGAATCTCTCTGTAAAGCGTGCGCACCAAAAGAAAGCAGCATTATATGGAGGGAGCCACGCCATGTGCCCCTTTGTTCTGCAAGCATGGTTTGAACTGGTCTCCCAACCTCCTGATCAAAAGGCCTACATGTATGTAGCCATTTTTCTTGCAACAATTATATATACAAAGTAGAGATCATAGTAAAAGTCATCGATATATCTAACATATAGATACATAATATAAAACGATTACCATTTTATTAGCTAGCAAGTACATAGCTGCCATGAGCAGGGAGGCATTAGCTACTACTTCCTTTTCTTTCTTTCTTTCTTTTTTTTTTTTACGTTGGTTAGCTCAAAATTATATATGGGAAAGGACGTAGTAGTATGACACGTTTCGTTCTTCGTTTAAAACCACAACGAGAGCATCACTGTATATATATGCGGATCGAATATATTTACGCGCCGATCTCGGAGCACGCTGCTGCTTCGGACGCCGGAGCGGCGGCGAGGTGGAGCCGCTTCTCGCCGTGGACGATGGCGGCGGAGGCGGCGGAGCTCCCGACGACGACGACGACGCACCGCTTCTCCTTGGCCTCGGCGCGGCGCACCAGGACCAACGAGCTGCAGCTGCTGCCGACCATCACATTGCGAGGAGGAGGAGGCGGCGCTGGCGCCACGGCGGCGGCGGCCGCGGCGACGCCACGGAGCAGCGCGTAGCTCGCCGACAGCTCGCGCGCCATGACTATGGCCGGCAGCGGCGGCGCGTCGGGCTCCTCCTCCGCTATCGTGTCCAGCATCGCCGGGAACCCGCGGCGGCGGCGGGGCCTGATGATCGACGACAGCAGCGGCGGCGCGACCTCGACGGAGAACCGGGCGACGAGCTGGGCCTTCGCCATTGTCGGCGTCAGCGTCAGCGTCAAGCGTGCGCTACGCACAGCGATCGGCAGCTCAAGAATCTGTGGCCATGGAAGCTTCGTGCTAAGCTTACTGGAAATTAATCGTAGTCTGGGTGCTCGTATTTATAGACCCGTACACTGTCAATTTGGAATTGCAATTTAATTTTGAGCCATGCAATTTGCAAGTGGATGGTTCTCTCTGGTGGGAAACTGACGAGTAGATAAATTTTGGAAAGAAAATACTAGAAATGAGACGATTTTGGAGGCAGGGATAAATGAGTTGAAACTTGAAAGTGATCAGGCGACCAGAGACACTATCAACGTCACTGTGATAATATTAATGTAGTAGTAATGCCTAGAGAAGTGTTGCTATACTGTCCCCTGATAAATGAAGAATTGTAAATGATGAATATTCAGCAGGGAGTTTTTTTGTCAGAAAATACATTGAACCTTCAGGCGTCTAAAGACAGCATGAACAAAAAAAATTTACATACGAACCTCAAATGAACAATACAAAATTTTCAGAGCTAAGACAGCGTGAACAAAAAAAAAATTGAGAGTGAGAACATATGCATAAATCATTCATATAGCATCCAACACGTACTGATGCATCATCTCTCTCATTACGCGACATACAGTACAGTATACAATATAAATGTTGTTTTGTAAGCATTCTAATGAAGAAAAAAATCTCGGTACGCATCGCCAATAAGAATTTCAGCAAAAGAAAAACGATATATTTAGTAAAGACTACTGTCAATTTCATCCAACTTTTTGTAGAAGATTGTAGCGAGGTTTCCCCATGGAGGACGGCAATCACATGAGGCGGATAAGATCGGAGGAGTTCCTTTCATCTCCTTTTAGGAAATTTAACTTCCAGGGGCGCTAGGCTGTCCCTGTACAAGCCGTCCTCTGCTTGCTCAGCCAGCAACTTGGCATTCTTCGTACAGTACCATGGTGCACGCATGGGTTATGAAAATGAAACGAAAGTTTTTTTAAAAAAAAACAAATATTTTGAAGCCAATATTATAGTTATAAGAAGTATTTGTTGCCAAGATTGAAGCTATGTAAAACTGTGATGATCAATAGGACAATAGGTGTGAGTGCACCTGTGATATTGGTATAGGCCCATTTGTCAATGTGTGTTACAAGATTATTCGACAGTAATAGTTTTCATGTATGGGTTGTCAGTTCCATTTCCATGTCCATGTCGAAATGAAATATCTGGTAATTGAAACATCATTATCAAATGTTTATTTTTAGAGATCAAATTGCAGTAATTTGCCGGAACGGAGCTGATGATATATGATCACAGGTTTTTTTTCTTTTTGGCATTTCATCTCTCTTCTCATCCACATGAACCCAGTGAGTAACTGTTGCTCCACAATCAGTGAGCAGTGAATGTCAATGCCAAGAACAGTAGTATATCAAGATTCAGTGAACAACATCCCGAGAGTACTTACATTTTGGATGTCGTTTGGTGCCAATTGGCAGCATTCAGAATAATGTGCAGAGAATCTCATGCCCATCATCTTACGTTTCAGAACAGTAGATGAAAATTCGCAAGCCACAGAATGATGACATGGAAGGCCAGTAGGAGCACAGTAAATTAAAATCAGCACAATCCATTGCTCCCCTTCTCTGAGCTTGGTTAAAGGATTGGAGATCAGTGGTGCTGATCTATCGGTCGAAATCAGTGTAGCTGTTACTGGAAGCCCTTCACCCTCTGAAACACGCTGTGAGCTTTGTGACCAGGTAGGTTCAGCCGTTCAGGGGATCCAAATTCCAATGGCATCAATCAACATCGCGCTCTACGTCAATTTCGAGCCGGTGCTTGCCCTTTGCAGGCAGAAATATACAGTTGAACAAATACTGTACTACCCCTAGCATGTTCCTTTGCAAACCACCACTTTCTGAAGTCATACTTGTATCATATTCATATGCCTAACCTTGGCGTATCCCTCTTATGCTGTTATGCAAATAGGATGGCATAAGCTTCATGGAGATGTAACCAGGCATGCAAATTCTAACTCGACCAAGATGACAGGAGGCGGCTGCAGTATTTGGGCAATAAAAATGGCAGTTTCAAGTTTCAACCATGTTCTGCAGCTGAGGGCTTTGGTGGTGTTTTCTTTTCCTTTAAGTATCTTTAAAAGGGATACAAGTAGTAACCACCAGTTAATGAAATCCCAGCAATTATGTCAAAAAAAATTGAAATCCCAGCAAAACTAGGCTCTTTTGGCTCTAGTTCCTACCGGGCATGCTCCCGTAGAAAACAACATTACGTCAAACTTGGGGGCAAAGCACTCATTCATTTTCAATATCGATCGTTTAAATTAATTGTTCGTCACACATACACCATCTTGTTCAGTAATGATGGCTCACATTGTCCGTAATCCCTGCTTAACTACATATTGACTCCCTCATTTTATACTCAACAATACACACCAGACTCCCACACTCCATTTTCACAGTGACTTTATTTAGCGCACCGCAAGCTGCACCAGCACACTCCTCATGCCAAGGAGAAGCAAATAAGATAATTGCTCCAATGCTGCCTTCCTCGAGCAATCAGGGGAATGGCTTAGTGCGCTCGCCGGGTGCCAAGTGCCAAATGGCCTTAGAAGACTATAATTTTTGTGCAGCTCCTGGTCTGTTCACAGCCGGGAGATGAGCAGTGGGACTGAGACAGTGGCGGTCTGCTCCCCCATTGCAGGGTGGCACATCTCCAGCATGTCCAGCTCCCTGAACCGCTCAAGAACCCTCATTCGGCACTCCTCAGCTGCCATCAGACCAGTGGAGAAGGCGCCATGCACCGTGCCAGTGTACTGGACACTGGTGGCTTCTCCAGCAAAGAATAGGTTATCGACTGGGATCCGCAGCTTCTCATACAGGTCACGAGGTTTGCCCACCCCATCGAAGGTGTAGGATCCAAGTGTATTCTCGTCTGAGCCCCAATGTGACACTAGGTAATGTATCTGCAATAAGATTTGGGCAGCATGGTTGTAAGAACTAGCATAAAGAGATTCTTGATTGCCAAATTTGATATTTTTGTCAAGATACTAACCGGCTCGGCAGCGTTGGGCAGGATCTTCTTCAGCTGAGAGAAGGCAAATTGGGCAGCAGCCTCATCTGACAGCTTTTCAATGTCACATGCAAGCCGACCCGCAGGCATGTAAACTAGAACAGGATGGCCAGTAGCCTTGTGGAGGTTGAGGAAATAGCTGCAGCCATATGTGGTGGATGAAACTACTCCAAGGAACTCCACATTAGGCCAGAAAACCTCGCTGAAGTGGAGAATTATTTTGTTCTCGACTCCAACTGAGAGTTCTCTTATTGCTTCCTCCTTCCACTCTGGCAGCCTAGGTTCAAATTTAATGGTGTTTGCTTTAAGAACACCTAAGGGGACAGCAATGACTGCAGCATCCGCAACAAATGTTTTACCACTGCTTACAGTAACCTCCACCCTATTCCTGTGGCGAACAATCTCAACAACCCTAAAGAAAAGAAAATAATGTGGATTAGCAATAAGGAATGGTGGATGGAACCATGAATTTTGCTTTTAAAGTGAGAAGGAAAAACTAAATGGATATGCATACCTGTGGCCAAGGCGTATATCTAGGCCTTTTGCCAGAGTATTTATTACTGGACGATATCCACGAACCATGAGACCATGGCCACCAGGAAGCAGTACCTCCTGCACCCACAGCACAGTACGAACATGAGACATAGCAATCAAACTAGCATGAGTACATCATGAGCAAAATATTGGCAATTGTAGCTGATATCAGGAACCAAAGTCCTACCTGGTCCCAACCCTGAAGAGAGATTGCGTCCGCATCAGTAGCAAACCAACCTTCCATGCGGCACAAATACCACTGAAGAACATCATGAGCAATCCCTTCTTGCCTGTTGTGAACAAGGACAGGTCAGGCAAAATGACCAAAAGATCAGGATAACCTATGCACATGGGCAGAAATTGGATGGTACAAACCTCAAGTGTGGATTTCTCTCCATAACAATTGCAATGGCCTTCGCAATAGAAATGTCTTCCTTAGTTTCTTCCCTCAGTTTGCCAGTCTGCACATATAAATGTTAGGGAAAAACAAGTACCAAAAATATTATCATGCAACAACAATAAGCATGGAAACTGAAACAAGGTAATACCTCTTCCAATATAGTCTCAAAAACCTTCCCTATCTTTTCTACCAGCTCTTGGGGAACTTGATGGCCCTTAGTGTCATAGAGAGCATAACTGAGGGAAAAAACATGTTAAATGGTTGATTATTATGGTCCATCATCTCTCAAGTTACATACAAAATAAACTAGCTCTAGTAACCTCTCAAGGTCATGATCAAACAGCACAGAGTCATCTCCACTTGTGCGATACAGTGGAAGTCCAAGCCTTCCAATAATTGGTGCCAGGGGATTTTCCTCACAAACACCATGAAGCCTGATGCTCACACAAAATGGAAGTGGATTAAAAATAATGGTTCCAGATAAACTTTTGCCACCATTTCAAATAATTCAGAAAATATTGTCAGAGAGGAACCTCACCAGGATGCTCCCAGATCAACAGGAAAGCCAAAAGAGTAATCAGTGTGAATTCTACCACCTATCCTGTCACGAGATTCTAGAAGAACAACCTGGAAAGAAACCACATTAGAATAACCAGTGGGGAAGAATTTCACAACATTTGAAATGCACTTCAAGGGATCATTGAACCTATATCATTACAATTAGGCCATAAACTGCATCACATATTACCTCAAATGATGCATTCCTGAGAGCGTTGGCTGCAGCAATGCCTGCAAACCCACTGCCGATAACAATAGCAGAAGGTGTGTGGGACTTTCTCCTAACATTTTCACCATATGAACCTGGATTTTACAAAAAAAAAAGGAAAAAAAAAAGGAACCTCAATGAGAGTGACAAAGTGTAGTAATAAAAAGTTAAAACATTATAAAATAATAATGATGTGTCAATTTTTGGTTATTATCTTGCCAAAATATTGCATTGAAAAAGGAGCTCATTCAGCTTAAATCTAAAGTGCAAATACTGGCTGGCACATGTACCATCATATGTTCTTTATATGACTGTCAACACAGGAAGCAACCTGAAAGTTTCACATGTTTGATGTAGTTGGATGGATGCTTGTGTTTCATGAATCTAAAGGTT